CCACCCTGTCTATAGCGGTCACCCTAGACAACCCTGTTATCAGCTGTGTGATACATCCACCTGTCTATACAGACCACCCTGTCAATAGCGACCACCCAAGACAACGTTTTTAAAATATATTCGCACTCGGGTAAACCCCGGGCGTTGCCCTGGCCATTCGTCTAGTAGTTTTAATAATTGATTTATATATTTTTTAAAATAGCCTATCGTCTTCCCCTTATTTTCTTACCTATGTATGGAAATTTTGGTTTGAATTAGTGAACTACTGCGAATTTGTATACCGGACATACAAACAAACATACAAACATTCATTTATATATATAGATATATATGTATATTTATCAATTATTTCATCTATTTATTCATATATCTATCATTATTAATCTTATTTATTCATTCTATGTATTTAACCTTATATAATCTTATATGGACGTTATAATAAATCAATCTCAATCTCTCTCAGTTACTATAGAACGACCTGAACCAGGTTTTCTTGAACTTTTCTCTTCCTCTGACCACTGAGTCCAAATCCTTACAACAGTACTTTGATTGCAGCACTTACTTTCATAGAAATTTCTCCACTCGAAATTCTCTATCTGCTCTCACTCTATTGCAGTCTATCGGTGGAGGAGTCTTTGCCGCGGTGGCCCCATCAATTATGACTGTATATATTTATATATATGTTATATAAAAATATTATTTTATTTTAAATCATATTTTCATAGATTCAAATATTCTGCTAAATCGACCGCCAGAGGTCACTCTTCCCCTATAAAAACTCGTTGTTGTTGTTTCCGTTGGCCTGTATTATCTCTATTGCAGTAGAGGTTCATGAATCCTGCCAAGAAGAAAAAGAAGGCCTACAAGCCTACAACCCGCATCGTGAACGTCGCCGACCTGGAGAGGGAAGATGAGATGGTGATCTCACGCAACTGCAGCATCCTGAGCTCCATTGGCCATCCTGCCCTGAAATCCCTGCATGAGGACCTGATCCGCTACATCGCCTCGCGGACTGAAATGATCAAGGCCCTCGCTACCAATGTAGAGAACCTCACTGACACCCTCGAGTCCTTCGCAGAGTTGGACGAAATTGAGGAGGCCAACAAGCCCAAGACTGCTTGCCGCGGCACTCAAACCTGCCCTGCTCCTTCCTGCAATGAAACCAGCTCCCAGACTGACCCAATCAAGCCCGCCACTCCTGCTCCTGCTGCTCTCCCTGCCAAGAAGCCTGCCTCCACCCTGCCTGCTCCTGCTCCAACCAAAAGGAAGCAGTCTGAAGCTCCCAACCCGCCTGCAAAGAGGACAAACCTGAATGGTCCTTCAAAACCTGTGCCTTCCCACGTCTCCAAGCCTGCGGCCGCCCAAGTGATCCTTCATGGAGAAAAATCGGCGGCCCACACAGTGGTCATCTCAGATGACCCACAGGCTGACCCAAGGGAGATGCTGAAAACAGTCCGCGCTGCTCACACTCTCCCCCAAGGCGTTTGGGCCTCCCTGCGCACCAAGGGGAAGCTGGTCCTCCATTCCAGCAATCCTGACACCATCCCTGAGGTTACAACCTCCCTGGCCAGCAAGTTGAATGGAATGAAGGTCCGCCAGCAGAAGGAGATCCTGCCACGGATCTGCCTCTTCAAAGTGGATGAGGAGACATCCAACTCCACAATTGAGGAGACCTTCCTGGAAACCGCTGCTGTTAGAAAACTTCCTGGGGACAAGGTGGTGCGCGTGGCGCACCGTTCTGCACCCAGAAACGGGACCTGCACCGCCTTCATCGAGGTGGACCTCAAGACCTTTAGAGCCCTGGGCGTTCTCGGGAGGATCGTGGTGGATGGAGTAATCCTCAACTTCGAGGAGTCCATCCGCGCCCGCGTCTGCTTCCGCTGTTGTGGCTTCGGCCACAACTCTGCCCAATGCACCAGAGCTCCCAAGTGCTTCCACTGCGGTGAAGACGGCCATGAAGGCCGAACCTGCCCATCCATTGCTGACCAGCGCACCTCCAAATGTGCCAACTGCTGCTCCCAGGGCCTTCCTGACAAGCACGAGGCGAGAGCCTCAAGCTGCCCCATCCTGAAGTCTAGGGCCCTCAAGTTCTAGGCTTCAAGGACCTTCTGCCTCCATTTCCATCTGCCACTTCTCCTGGATTCCTGGCCTATTCAACGCACCCGCCTCACTGCACCCTGGCGCTATTCCCCTGCTTGCCCAACGTTTCCACCACCCCTGCGAGACATCTCCTGCTTCCAGATCCTAGGGTCCCTTGCCACCTGACATCGATTTTGGGCTCAAAAATCATAACTTTTGGTTAGTAGCCCGTAAATAAAGATATTTTCTCTCTTTCCGTTGGCCGGCTCAAAACTTTTGTACATTATGTAAATAATCTTTTGTTTTTCTTATTCTACTCGACTTAAGCCAGGCATTACTTTTACCAAATTATGCTTTATATATATTTCTTAGCTCAAATAAAGCAACCTTTGATCAAAACCATTATTTTTATTTCAAGATTTAACCACGACTGCATTACCATTACCATAATCCTCAACATGATCAAGATACAACAGAAAATCTTATCTCTCTTTTTTTTTAAATATAATATATATATGTATATTTATTAAATATTTTATCCATTTATATCTATTTATTCCTATATTTATCATTATATAATCTTATATATTCATATTTATTCTGTATTTAACCATATATAATCTTATACGGACATTGTAATTAATCAGTTTAAATTTCAATCACTCTTTCTTTCTCTCTGTGACCTATTACAAGTTTTAAGAGATTTGTGCTCCACATCAAAGTACTACACAAATCCCATCTAGATGTATATTATATACAATTTAAAGTCAAAGTTAACATTGAACATGAACAGTAAAAAATAATATAACTTTTAAACAATAATATTGCTATTTACAATATATGTACATTATAAATATATATGCACTAAATAAAATAATTGTATAATTTCATAGGTTTTATACTTTTATATTTGTTGTATAAATATACACCAATACCTCGCTTTGCCTCGTTTCGTTTTGCGTTTTTTTCGAAGTTGCGTCGCTGCTTAATTTTTACTGATTTTCACTGTGCGTCGTTAGATTTTCGAAGTTGCGTTGTTTTGGATTCGAGTCTTCAATTTTTTTCTTTTTTTTTTCCCTAAAATATGGCAACCACTTTGTTTTTGATTGCGCCTTCACATATTTTCACTTTGCGTTTTTTTCAATTTGAGTCGTGTTTTTTTTTGGAACCTAACCCAGACGCAAAGCGAGGTATGGGTGTATTCATTAATTGTTACCACAGAGTGTGTGTAAGCTCACAGGTAAATAGGCGCTAACCGAAACAACAAAAAAAGTTCCTTTGTTTAATATTAGTTTCCCTTTTATATTTTGTTCTCTCTCTTGTAAATCAATAAATATGTTTGATTAATTTTCTTGGAATCATTTTCATTAAAAATTCTAAGCAAAGTCAACAATATTTCTAATAAATCCCTGTAGTTTAATAAATAGCCAGTTATCCGTTATAAAATTTCCTAGATTAAATGGCCATTTAATTATTTTTTATTTATCAATAAAATAAAGAGAAGATCTTTGACTGTAATATTTGAGACACTTCAATATTATATGCTTTACTGTTTGAATGTATGTTTAAGAAACAAAACTTTGAAAGAAACGTTGACGTGGACAAGGCATCTTTCCGGTACGCGGAACACTGTAGGTTCGTTTCCCATCCCTGGACACTTTTATTTTTCCGTTCATCATTACTCTTTACATTTCATTCTTTCATACCTCATCTCTAAGGTTAGAAATAATCGTTATTTTTACTTTAAAAATAAATTTCGATTTTTCGTTTGAAAGAAACAAATGCGGGATAATTTTCAAATGTCGTTTTACTAGCAATAATTGTGTTACAATTTAGCTCCCTATGTCCCTATAAGGACATGGTGTTAAACAGTAATCTCTATGTTTGACAAAGAGGCGGAGTGTTGACAGCATATATGAGCTATGTCGTCCTACAAGGCCGAGAATACGTAGGTGTGGCTTTATTGGCCCTTGTTTCTAAATTACTCTACAATATGGAACCTTTAAATACCTGTTTACTCTATAGAATAAATGGTGGCCGGTGGTGTAGTGGTAAAACCCATCGATATTTGATGAATATTTCCCGGGATCGAATCCCGCATCATAAACCTTTTCTTAACTAAAAAATTACTTGAAAGGCCTCCGATTCTTACACAATATATATGTATGAAAAAAGTGAAAGTTGTATAAGCTTTTGATTTTGCTTTGTTTTAAAAATGAATCGATGTTGGTTCCATATGCTTGAATTGAATATTACACCTTAGTTCTATATATTTTATTGCTTAAAAAATAACACAACAAAACAAAAAAGAAACTACAATTGCAAATGATTTGATAACTAACAAAGAAAAAATAAAAAGAACAATAATAGGTTTCAAAAAATGATTATGATAAATATTGCATATGTCTGCCAGAAAAATGCTTCTATGAATTAAAAAATAAGAATAATTATAAAATTATAATACAATATAATATACTGCGGCCTGTGATTGTAAAACGACACTTGAAGTTACAACGCATGAGTTTCTTTTCAACGAAAAATAAATATTTTATTTCAAGGTGAAATATCGACTATCTCCATCCTTTTTGGATGAGGTATGAAAGGGTGAATTATGAAGAGTAATGACGAACGGAAAAATAAAAGTGTCCAGGGATTGGAATCGAACCCACAATGTTCCGCTTACCGGGCAGATGCCATGCCCACTAGGCTACCCTGAAAGTATTTTTCCGTTCGTAAATGATACATAAAGTAATAATATATAAACTTCATAATATAAACTATATATAACATATAAACTTCCAACAATATCAAATCCTGTAAATCCATCTTAGGGAAACACCACGTCATCTACTTATATAATTGCCTTATTCTGTCTGTGTGAAGTTCACGGATAGATTTTGGTCAGAATGGATAAAATAAAAAGGGTGTCAAGGGATGGGAATCGAACCCACGACCTTCCGCTTACCGGGCAGATGCCATGACCACTAGGCCACATGACCACAATTTATAATTGTAACAAATAGTATTTGAATCAAAACATTCAATCGGGTAAAACACGGGCGTTGCACGGCTCATTCGGCTAGTCTATATATAAGAAAAGAAAACATTTAAAGTTTCCCCTATAATATTTGTATATAATTCTACTGTCCTCTCTCTCTCTCTCTCTCTAAAAGCTTATTTACATATACAAGTTAATAAGATCAAATCCAAATAAATAGTTTGTGTCGTTTCGGTAACAGCGTTGTTTTCAGACAAAAGTTCTGAATGAGAAAAAAATATCACAGTCTGAAGATGATAACAACGCTGTTACTGAAACGTCACACACTATTTATATATTTGGATTTGGTCTTATTACCTTGTGATTCTAATATATAATCCAAATTGTGCCTTTTCCCTATTTACATAGTTTTTTTGAATAAACTTTTTAAGATTCCACACTTTTTTTTCAGTATGACGTATATAAGCAGAAATGTCCAATACAGTATTAGATCTCTATAGAAACGATCTGGTAGATTAAATTGGCGAAACCGCTGGGAGGGTTAACCGCTGATGAACCAAGCCTTCCCAATATTTTTTAATCGCGCTATGGGCAGTAGAAGTTTGTATTATTTATAGGGGAAACTTTCGGGCTTTTTGTACTCCTGTAAACTCTCATTGTTTACCATCTTAAACATATAGTAAATCTTCAATGTATCTTCTCCATTCATTTTACCTAAAGGTTGAGAAAAGGCAAAACACACCGAAAGCTCCTAATAAATATATTTAAAAAATAACTTGTGGTAAGTCTCATTTATTTAATTTACTGTCAATATCAAATCCATTAGTGAGTATAAATAAACACACGAGGCTATGATACATTGTAACTGTAGAATTCGAATTGATTTTTAACACATTTACTACTCTGATAAAGGTTGGTTCTCAATCAATCGAAATATTTATAAATGGAATAATTTACTGATCCTATATATGTATTTTATTGTCTTGAATCGTTTACATATTAAGACATAAGATTTAATCACTTTATAAAAGGCAGTCGCTAACTAACCTCCGTATTTCTAATGTCTACTTGGGATAAAAAGAAAATATATGACGACCCCTTATTGTACTCGTTTAAAGTTTGTTTTTAAAGATCCATAGCTCACAAAAAAAGATGCTGAATTGATATTTTAAAGTAACAAATGGATTTTCAAATGAAAAGAGCTAGTTTATCCATATGTTTGAAGATACGATAGTTTTAAACTCTAGAATGTAAAATTGAAATCTTTAGAAGAATACTTCTGTTGACAAGTACTAAAATGATGATAGAAAACATTAGGATTTATTCCAAATTTTATAAAATGTTTTCATTTAGGTTGGTGTGTGGATGTGTGAGAAAGGTTTGTGAATGGTTCGCTGTAGAAGTCAGCTCGACATGAAGTCCAATCGGTGTCACAAGATCGGCAAACAGTTTGTCCTGAAGTGGGAGGCAGAGTTCCTGTAGATCCTTATATATCCATCTGGGGCGTTCTCTGATTTCTGGACTTTATACAGCGATCTAGGACGTTCTCTGATTTCTGGACTTTATACAGCTATCTGGGGCGTTCTCTGAATTTTGGACTGTATACAGATATTTGGGGCGTTCTCTGATTTCTGGACTTTATACAGCGATCTAGGACGTTCTCTGATTTCTGGACTTTATACAGCTATCTGGGGCGTTCTCTGAATTTTGGACTGTATACAGATATTTGGGGCGTTCTCTGAATTCTGGACTTTATACAGATATCTAGGACGTTCTCTGAATTCTGGACTTTATACAGATATCTAGGACGTTCTCTGACTTCTGGACTCTATACAGATATCTAGGGCGTTCTCTAAATTCTGGACTTTATACAGTTATCTGGGACGTTCTCTGAATTCTGGACTTTATACAGATATCTGGGGCGTTCTATGAATTCTGGACTTTATACAGATATCTGGGGCGTTCTCCGAATTCTGGACTTTATACAGATATCTGGGGCTTTCTCTGATTTCTGGACTTTATATAGATACTAGCGGATGTGCCCGGCTTCGCCCGGGTTTTACCCGAGTGAATGTTTGTCTAACGAACATTTTTTAAAACAATTCTCTATAAACTTATAAAACGTACTCGGCTTCGCCCGGGGTTTTTACCCGAGTAAAGGTTTGTCTAGCGAACATTTGTTAAAACAATTCTCTAAAAACTTATTAAAAAAAGATATATTTTGATAATTTGAAACTCGTAAATTTGAATCTCTCGATAAAGTGAACATTTTTTCCCGGTCCCTGTGTGCCGTGTCATCCTGAATTATGTCTTTCCTAATTTTCTACATTAGAAAATCATAGTTTTATCTAGTGAACATTTTTTCCCGTGTCACATTGCCGTGTCATCCTGAGATAATCTTACTTTGATAAATAATATTCAAGATAACAAACTTAGTGATAAGAAAACTTGTTATCATCGTCACAATGGGGGCGCTGCTTGCGAGTTAAATCTACAAATCTGCAAATAACTCTAAGGATATTCAAGATATTCATGAAATTATTTTTCAAAAACCTTCCCGGTGATATACCGATTAATATCCCAAAATTTCACGGCGATTGGATGTATGGTTTTTGAATCTATAGAGTACAGACAAACAGACAGACATTCAATTTTATATATATAGATTTACTCTTCATTGTTGGCTTTTTATCTTACATTCACTCTTCATTGTTGGCTTTTTATATTATATTTACTCTTCTTTGTTGGCTTTTTATCTTACATTCATTCTTCATTGTTGGCTTTTTATATTACATTTACTCTTCATTGTTGGCTTTTTATCTTACATTCACTCTTCATTGTTGGCTTTTTATCTTACATTCATTCTTCATTGTTGGCTTTTTATATTACATTCACTCTTCATTGTTGGCTTTTTATCTTACATTCATTCTTCATTGTTGGCTTTTTATATTACATTCACTCTTCATTGTTGGCTTTTTATCTTACATTCATTCTTCATTGTTGGCTTTTTATATTATATTTACTCTTCATTGTTGGCTTTTTATCTTACATTCATTCTTCATTGTTGGCTTTTTATATTACATTTACTATTCATTGTTGGCTTTTTATCTTACATTCACTCTTCATTGTAGGCTTTTTATCTTACATTCATTCTTCATTGTTGGCTTTTTATCTTACATTCACTCTTCATTGTTGGCTTTTTATCTTACATTCATTCTTCATTGTTGGCTTTTTATATTACATTCACTCTTCATTGTTGGCTTTTTATATCATATAGAAAATCATAGTTTTATCTAGTGAAATTTTTTTCCCGTGTCACATTGCCGTGTCATCCTGAGATAATCTTACTTTTGATAAATAATATTTAAGATAACAAACTTAGTGATAAGAAAACTTGTTATCATCGTCACAATGGGGGCGCTGCTTGCGAGTTAAATCTACAAATCTGCAAATAACTCTAAGGATATTCAAGATATTCATGAAATTATTTTTCTAAAACCTTCCCGGTGATATACCTAATAATATCCCAAAATTTCACGGCGATTGGATGTATGGTTTTTGAATCTATAGAGTACAAACAAACAAACAGACAGACAGACATTCAATTTTATATATATAGATTTGGGGAGTTCTCTGAATTCTGGACTTTATACAGATATCTGGGGCGTTCTCTGATTTCTGGAGTTTATACAGATATCCGGGGAGTTCTCTGAATTCTAGAGTTTATACATATATCTGGGGCGTTCTCTGAATTCTGGAGTTTATACAGATATCTGGAGCGTTCTCTGAATTCTGGAGTTTATACAGATATCTGGAGCGTTCTCTGAATTCTGGAGTTTATACAGATATCTGGAGCGTTCTCTGAATTCTGGAGTTTATCAGTTTACTTGTGCCGAGTTCCTACATCTTGTGTTTTAGATCCCAAACTTTTTATCTGGACTTTATTCAACGGTCTGTGTGCTTTATCAGCTTACCTTTCAATATTGTTTCTTATCTCGGCTTTTTTTCTGTGGAACTAGATGTGACAATATTCTTATTCAACAATAAAGGATATTTCTGAAGTTACCTGGTTTAGCTCCAAATATGTTTTGATTCTTTTCCAGGAATACACACACAATATAGAACGATATTGTATATAATAGGATGGTATTTTTCTGATGTTTATCAATCTACTTACCAATTTTGTTGTCCTGACCAAAAGCCAACCCCTCCTCTACGTAGGGAGAAGCAGCACAAGTAAGGGATTGCCCTGTAGTACTGTGTCGTAAGCCCCGAGCCACTACGGTAACCGTGAACAGAGAACTCTGAAATGTGGCTGACTATAGGAACAATGGCGCTCCCCCTTTCCATTGATTGGACAAGACACCACCACCAATATTGTTTCTTATCCATCTCTTTCCTGGAACACAAACAATATGTATGACCATCTTATATAAAAAAGAATTGCAATTTTACGAAATTTCGTGCTATTTACCAATATATTTTCTTATCCCCATTCTTTTCTGGGACTATTTAATACAATTTTGTATTCAACAGGATAGCACTTTCTTAAGATTATCAAATTTCTAACAAATATTATTACTTATCACAAATCTTTTTTTCAACTATCAAAGACAATTGTCCATGAATGTATCTTTCAGAGTTATTATCTGAATCCCGATATACATGCTAAAAGGTACAACTTCCTTTTGTTTTGTACATGAGTGTATCTTTAAGAGTTATTGTCTCAATCCCGATATACATGCTAAAATGTACAACTTCCTTTTGTTTTGTCCATGAGTGTATCTTTTAGAGTTATTGTCTGACTCCCGATATACATGCTAAAAGGTACAACTTCCTTAAGTTTTGTCCATGAGTGTATCATTAAGAGTTATTGTCTGAATCCCGATATACATGCTAAAAGGTACAACTTCCTTAAGTTTTGTCTATGAGTGTATCTTTCAGAGTTATTGTCTGAATCCCGATATAAATGCTAAAAGGTACAACTTCCTTAAGTTTTGT